CCCAGTATTTACATGAAATCCTCCAATCCTTACTCTTTCTCTCATCTGCTTATCAACCTAGAAGGTGCTTGTACTCTGCCTCTTCTCCAGGTCTTTCATATATTGGCTTGCTCAATAATTGTCATTGAAAAAAATAGGAATTATGGTCTTTAAAAAAAAAGGAATGTAGACTTTCTCTCCTCTTCCCTCAGCCCCCTGGGTTACACCTTAGAAAATGGGTTGATTTTTATTTTTTTTAATATCCAGTTCTTGGTCTCCTCATCCTTGTTTCTTGAACGGTGCAACAAAGCCTCAATAATTTGTTTCTGTGAGTGGTTCCTTTGGGGTCTCGGGTGTCTTTGTGTGACAGCCTAAGCAGGCAACCTCCCTGGGTCCACAATCCGCCGGCCAGAGTTGGGTAGAAGTGGCACCTTCGATCTCACAGTGGCCCAGCAGCGCCATCTGGTGGGCCTTGACTGCCCTCTGCAAAGGCTGCATGAGACCAGCCAGGCGGTGAAATGCAGTCCAAACATTTTAGCTACCCCTGTAAGCCGTCAATCATACTTAGAAATAATTTATTAAAATATGTCAAATGTTGTTTTCCCTACTTTAGATTTCTTATTGAGGAGCAGCATCTATAGTTTTAAGAGGAACTTTTGAATAACCAATTCTTATTTCACATGCATTTGTGAAAAATAGAATTATGTAGGCCAAGTAGTACATCAGAAGATTTAATTTTTGTCGAGGTTGATTTTTTTTATATATTTTCTTTTTTTAAAAAAGAAATAAAGACAGTATGAAGTATTACCACTCAGAATGGAGTTCTTGGAAAACAGTACAGCATCATCTGGGAGCTTGTCCGAAACGTAGGCTCTCAGTCCCTGCTCCAAATTAGCTGAACCAGAGCCTGTATTTCACCCACAGTTCAGTCCTAGTTGTGCATGAGAGGTTGCTCTGCACAGGCGGCAAGAATTTGATGGAAGACCTGGTTTTACCGCAGCATCTCTGTCTCCTTACATATAGTCCCAGAGACCTATATGGTGAGAGATTATGAGCTGGTTCTCCTGACTTGTCTCCCATGGAGGCCACTGAAGAACAAGTTAGCGCATACATAAGGCTTACTTTGTACATTGTAAAAACCTAAGGGGAATTATGGAAAATTCATATGTTTTATACTCAGCTATCAGAGTCTTGGTTTTATATAACTACATATCATCAGCAGAAGGAATATTTCTTTAAATATAGGCTGGATAGATTTCATCATGTCTTCCAAAGATCTTGTTCAGACAAGTCTTCCCAGAGCTCAGAATAAGGAAATCATCTTCTATCTTTCTTAATAAAACCTTTCACATTTACCATCCTGTGGCCCCAGAAACATTGCCCCTGTTGAGCCTGGTAAGGGACACAGCAGGTGCTTGTTGATTAAACTACTAATTAGCTCTCTGTGTGGCCTGAACAGGCGCCTGATGTCCTTCTCACTAATCGTGCAGTTTATGATAATTACATTATTTGCATCATTAGTAGCTTCACATAGCTACATGAGGACTCAATTGTCTTACTAATAAATCAAATATTCATTAGAGCACAGACTCCTGATGATGGAGAAATCCTTTGATAGTGTATAGATAGAAGTGAGTGAGACCATTCACTTTTTACAAACACTACAGCCTTTACCTTGAAATCAGGAGGGGAGGGGATAAAGGAAAGAATGGCAAGATATTATTCTCTTCTCCTTGCGTGAAGCTGAAAAGAAAGATTATTAGCAAGAAGCTACTGGACAATAATTAGGTGAAATTTTAAGAAAACATATTGTCTAGAATTGATAAGAGATAGTTCCAGATACTTGGGGGAGGGCAGAGAGAGGAGAATTGCAGTTCAAAAACCAGCCAAGCCAAAAATAAATCAGCGAGACTCCATCTCTCAGGGCATGGATGATACATCTCTGTAGTTCTAGATGCTCAAGAGGTAAAGGCAGCAGGATCAAAGTCAGAAGCTAGCCTGGGCCAAAAAGCACAACTCTTGTCTACAAAAACTCCCCACTGAAAACAAAAAGACTGGGCCATGGATCAAGTGGTAGAGCACCCTAGGTCCTGAGTGTAAGCTCAGTACTAAAAAGAAAATCAACAAGAGATATAAACATTTGTGCTTCCTCAGTAGTTATCTGTCTATCTATCTATCTGTCTGTCTGTCTTTTGCCAATACTGAGGCTTGTACTCAGGACTTCTTACTCAGCTTTGAGCCACTTCTGCACTTCCAGCTTCCTGCTGATTAATTGGCGACAAGTCTAGAAGATTTTTCTACTCAAGCTGGCTCTGAAACTCAATCATCACATTTCAGCCTCTGAAGTAGATGAGAATATAGATGGGAGTCACCGGTGCCTGGCTTCCAATGTCTCTTTTCCCCTAAGAAATGATATTTTTGACAAACAGTGAAGTAGAGCATTGAAAATAACTTACTCAGTTTGCCATGAAACTGAGGTACAGAAATAATCTATTCAAATTAGGTTAAAATTTTACATTGCCTTTGATTTATGAAATTTTTATGGGCATTGTAATTGACTATATACAGTAAAATTTATACTGTTTTATTTTTATCTAATTCATTCCATTAAGAATATCTATTATAGCTAAGAATATACCCAGCTATTTCAAAGAATTTAGAATGCCAATTCTTCTAAATTATTTTCCTTAAAGTTAAAATGTAATTATAAGCTAGGCATTGGTGGCTCACACCTGTAATCGTAGCTACTCAGAAGGTTGAGATCTGAGGACTGTGGTTCAAAGCCAGCTCATGTAGGAAAGTCTGTGAGACTCTTATCTCCAATTAACCACCAAAAAATTAAAAATGGAGCTGTAGCTCAAGTGTAGAGCACCAGCTTTGAGCAAAAAAGCTAAGAGGTAGAGTACCAGCCTTAAACTCAAGCCCCAGTATGAGCACAAAAATGTAATTTTAATAACTTATACTGTAAATCAATAATATAGTAGTGTATTTATTATAATAAAGTATATTATAATAGTCATACTGGGCTGGTAGTATAATGATCACTCATGCCTGCCCATATAAGGACTAGGTAACATTCACTTCCTCTCTGACAGCCTAACAGTCCTAGACTGCCCAAGACATTTCATGACCATATAATAATAACAGTATTCAAGAGCCACAGCTCTTCATTTTCTTTGTCTTATTCCACTAACATTTTACCTTAAGAATTTTTGAATGAAGAGAAAAATTGCCAGAATAAAACATAGTACCCTAATAGACAGCTAGAAGCACTGCTTGCTAATATGTTTATATTATCTTTTTCCCAGTCCAAGGACAAGGACCTACATTTATATAACCAACAGTAAAACAACCAAATCCAGGGAAATGGCATCCTGGTCCAGGGCTCTCATGTTAGGACACAGTCCTCATCGAATCCTGCCAGTTGTCACAGTAAGGCCTCTGCACTGCAACCCTACCTTGGCCCCAGGTTTGGTATCATTCCTTGTTGCTTTTGGCTGTTGCCCCTTTGAGGGCCCATTAAACTGGAGCAGTTCTTTGGTTTTTCTTTGCCTTTCAAGACAGTAATGTCTTGAAGCCTATCGGCTAATGCTTCTTCACAATAGTATGGAGATGAGGCATTGGGGTCATAAATACTAAGAAGTGTTGTGTTGCACTGCAGAGCATTGTACTTGTAGGCAGTGTGGTGCTGGTCTGTCCCATCATTGGGATAGTATCTTCCGTCCTTTGGATAGTGTGCTATGCTAGATTCTCCCACTGTAATTAATGAGCAATCTCTAGGGTGTATTTTAAAATGTCATTTCTGGCCATTTAGTATCCATTCTGTCTGAATCAGTTATTAACTGATTTGGTTGAAAATGGTGACTTTGAAAGTGATAAAGCTTCCGTCTTGAGTAGAAAAGCCAAGTGAGAACAAGAGGCCTTGGGTGGTTCCTTTCTGACTCATTTATTCCTTTGCACTTACTAGTTGGAATTCTATCCTAAAAACAGTATTATCTTCTTCTCCTTGTATGTATGTATGTATATAGGTAGATAGGTAGGTTGGTATGCATTTATGTATGTACCCATCCATCCATCCATCTATCCATCCATCCATTTATCTATACATCCATCTTTGTGAGTACCAGCAAGGGCTTACAGGTTCTTTTTATTCACTTGGTTATTGCTCATTATTTTCATTCATTTTGATGTTCATATTTTTCTCTGTCCATTGAGAGCCCCTTCAGTTTAATCCCTGTGTTTGTTTAACATGGCCTATCAGTTTGTTTCATTTATTCTTTATCTCTTAGCAGATAGACAGCTACACAGATCAATAGACAGATACGTAGATACATACATACATAGATGAGAGACACATAGATATATAGAAAAATAGATATGGATATTAATATTATTAGCAAATGAGAGTTTTATTCTTACAACAAAGTATTTTGAGCAACTGTTATGTTCCACTTAGTAATCTTACTCATGGTCCCAGGGAAACCTAGACAGTTAAATTGACCTTTACATATAGTATGGGAAATTATTATAATAGTGAGTATTTGTTCCTTGGAAGCACCAAGGTAAAGCTCCAAACCCCACTGGGTAAAGAAAGAGCTCAGAGAGAATGCACAGCACCCTCTGGACATGAAAGATGATTGTAGCTGGGAAGCACGTAACTCTCTGAAGAACTGAGAACATTGAAGTTCAGTACTCTGTGTGTGAGTGTGCTGGTGGAGGATGTGGGGGAAGAAGAAGCTGGAAAGGCAGGCTGAGGCCTTGTAAAAGACCTTGCCCAATTATGGTTCTGGATTCATCAACTTTCAGCTTCACCTGCATGTTCACATTGCCTGGAGAGCCTGTGGAGAAAACACCAGGGTCCAGTCTCAAACCACATAAGTCGGGGGTGGGAGGGTAGGGTCCATATATTTCCATTTCTATTCCTAGTTTCTGGAAGATTTTTTTTATGAAGAATGGTGTCACATGTCACAGAGCTAAATCCTTAAAACCAAACTTTAAAAAATCATCACTGTATTTTGTAGGATTTTGAACTCAACAATGAACTGAAGATGAATGTCCTAAATTTACTAGAAGAAGTTTTGCGAGACCCAGACCTTCTTCCCCAAGAAAGGAAAGCCACAGCAAATATCCTGAGGTAAAGACAATCCCGCTGATTGAATTGTGTCGGCTCATTTGTGCTCCGTTTGTAGAAAATAAGATCCTATATCAAAGCAGAAGGATAAATCTTAGGTTCCTGCAGGCAGCAAGGATTCTGTTCTCACCAGTGAAGTACGATTTATCTTCTTCTCTTTCTTGGGGGCAACTTGGGGCCTGCTGTTATTGGAGGTACTTGGACCAAGTGGCTTCACTCCTGTGGAGTGCATCCTCTCCTCTTTATGGGTACAGACGGTTCTGGCAATCTGTGTGTTAAAGGAAAGGAGCCCGGAGAACCCCTTCTGTGAATTTGTTTTCCTCCTGTGGCTTTGAATTATCATTCGCTTCTGTTTTAGGGTAAGACGTATTTCCATGCTATTCTCTTTCCTCAGTTTCTTTCACTGATTGAGCATCGTTTCCCCCTGTCAATTCCTTGGCTTAGACTTGCTATATCAGGTAGGTTATATTATTGGGTGGAGCTGTATAAAGCATGACCCTACACAGTGTTGAACCTGGGGTATCCTGTTAGAGATTTGTGTGTATGCATAGTTGTTAGACCCAATGTCTCAGCAGGTAAAAGGCTTTACCTTAAATGAATTGGTGGGTTCATATTCCTGTAGTCTAATTTACATGAAGAGGGCAGCAGCCATCGGTGGCTTCAAGCAGTTGTTGGTGGATAGCTTCACAGCTCCCCCACAAAGATATCTGATTGCCTGGAGGGTATCTTCTAGGACGTGGAACTCCTTTGCAGTTCAACTTTCTAGTTTTCCCTTTTCTTCTAATCCTGGAAATGATCCCTTATTTTCCTCCAAGCTCAGGTACATTGTCTCTCTGTAGTGTGTTATCCAGAAAGCTGGGCATGGAAGAGAATCTGTTTCAGTTGAGTCTACCAGGTCTGTAAAATCTCTCCTTAAAGCAGCAATGACAGTGGGCCAGATTTTGAGTTGTGATGTTTTCATAGCTGGTTCATAAGTCATTTTTAGTCCTTATCAGCTGAAGATCCCATAGCGAAACCACTCTTTGGAAGAGGGGTTAGTATGGATTGAATTGTATGCTCCTCTTCCCAAGAGTGACCTCTGTTTCATCAAAATGGGACATAATGGGTTGGAGATAAAACTATTGCAGATATAATTAGATAAGTTGAGATCATCCTGGAGTAGGGTGAGCCCCTAATCTAATGTGACCGGGGTCCTTAGAAAGTACAGAAACACAGACAGAGGGGTTAGTGGGTGGAAAGAGATGGAGGAGGAGCCACAGACTGGAATGAAAAGCCAACAGCTGAAACCAAAGGCTGCCGAAGCTAGAAGAAGCAAAAAAGAGATCACCTGTAAGTCCAGAGGCAGCAGCCCCATTAGACAACTTGAATCTCAGATTTCTGTCCAGGCTTAGAGAGAATCTGGTACGTTTCTGTTGCTTCTCATCACTCAACGTGCGGTATTTTGTTAGGGAAGCCAGGGAAACTCTGGGGACCTTCCAGGAAAACACCTAAATAAGCTTAGGAAGTCCATTGCAGGGTCTATTTTCAGATTTAAAAATTACAGGTACACATTCAAGTAAAACCTGGTTTCCGAGAATGAATAATTATATCTGAAAGCAATTTCTGTACCCTTTCTCTTCATGTACATATCATGTTGTGTTCTTTGTAGTTAAAACACTGAGATTTTAAAACTACCTTGTAGAAATTTGTGCCCTTAAGGACATTTGACTGAATAGCTGTCAGGGAAATCATGACTAGGAAGACCTTTCAAGACTGGCAAGTATGTTGGCCAGAACACCTCTGCCAGACATAACTAATTAATCCTCAAAGATTTCAGTCTGCTCTAAGAGGTGACTTCAGAAACCTGTTAAGTGGCTGGAGATTTATATCATTCCAGGCATGTTTACAATGATATATTAATATAAAATATATATTTAAGCAAGTTCAGATGAACCCTATTTTCCATTCCAGGTCTTCATTATTGATCAGGTGTCAAAAGTGTCAATTCTCTTTGGCAAGAAACAGGATAAAAATGTTAGGCTGGTAGGCCACAGACATGTTAGTAGACACACAGTGTGGGCATACAACATAGAATAGAGCCGAGCCGGATTCAGACTTTTGCAGAATGTTTTGCAGAATGTTAAATCTTGGGTTACCTACTTAGAGCTGTCAAGTTTTCTAACCCATCAGAATTTCAGTTTCCTCATTTATAAGATGAGGCTAGCAATATGTGCCTCATTGGGTTGCTGTGATGTCATGATATAATATGGTGGAGTTTAACACATGGCCTGAAACATAGCACTCATAGTACTGCTGTGTCTGTTTCCCTGCCATCAGAGTGCTATGGCACCGCTAACACCTGGCAGGAGCTTCATCTGACACAGTTCTCCGTCGGCATCATCGTCTTGTTTACAGAAAGAGAGTTGGGCCAATATCAGAGTAGGGGCTAGATTATTCTTATTTATATAATTGAAGAAGGAATCTTTTTTCATTCCTAGAACTTGAATAATTCCAGTTTCTTTTCAGTGTTTTTGGTGTTTCATTTTAAGTGCACAATGATTAATCTGATTATACTCTTGGTCAATGTAAGAGGAAACCAGGACCCTGCTGTGTTTATCAAAACCCAGAGGTAGTTAGTATATGAAAAGCAAATCTTTCTTCTATGGAAGTTCACGTCTGTATCTACCTCCCAGTAAATTCAGATTATGCCTGTGAGAGATCAAAACATAATGGATTTAAATATTAGAAGTTTATATATATTACAGCCATGGAAGAGTGAGATGCTAACATAGAAAATATGTTGCATTAATTACATTAAAGCAAAAGTTCTCTCTGATGAACCTGTCTCTCAGACTCTCAAGGGTAATTGATGACCACACATAATTACTATATGAAGCTTGTGGCCCTGATTGAAAGTAAAAACCTTTGATCAAGACTTTTGCATTTCTAAAATACTACTTTCCAAACTTTTCCAACTAGTAATCTTCAAAATCTATCCAGTGTAGAAGATTTTGTTGATACTTAATATGTCAGGATATGAAAAGAAACAAGGCTTAACTCTCTAGAAGTTCCTCTGTGCTGGGTTCTGGTCATGGAAAGGCTACCCCCAATCCTCAAGGCTCCAAATGGAATCATCAAGAAGTCAGAAAACATGAAGAGGGCTGGGAAGGTGGCTCAGTGGTAGAGCGCTTGCCTTGCATGCCTGAGACCCTGTGTTCGATTCCTCAGCACCACATAAGCAAAAAGACAAAAGCCGGAAGTGGCGCTGTGGCTCAAATGGTAGAGTGCTAGCCTTGAGCTGAAGAGCTGAGGGACAGCGCCCAGGCCCAGAGTTCAGGCCCCACGACCGGACCAAAAAAAAAAACAAAAACAAAAAAACCAAGAAAACAATGAAGCTGGAGTGTATCTCAGAATATTAGAGTGTCTGTTGTATATAAAATATCCTCCTACTTTGAAACCAGTACTTTGGATATGAATTAACTTACATATTATTTATGTAGTTATATAAATTATATAATATAAATAATTATATAACTATATAAATCACCATTTATTGAGAAAAAGATATTTATTGAGAGCTGAACAACACCAAGTATAAGATGCACATGTGAAAAACAAGAGGGAAGAATTATCTGTGTGTGCCTGCCCTGAATTGGTCCGATTTTTGCCATGTAGGAATCCCCTGTGTTCCTAATCTATATAAATACGGAAGGGCAGCTACAACTCCCAACTCAGCAGCATCCGCAGGAATGCTGGGCAGTGACTGGAGAAGCAAGGGTAGAGCAGTAGGCCTATGACTGGAGCTCACGAATGTTACTGGAGAATGCCTGGATTCACATTCTCCATCACCTGGGAACTGCATTCCAGCTCGCCTCAGGTTCACTATAGTTTTATCTATGGCCTGGTAGTATAACAAGCATAATAACAAGTGTAATAACAAGCAGCACCTTGTTCTAAGCCGTCTCTCCTGCTGAGTCTCTTGTATGTTTTACATGTTTTTTTTTCTGTTTAATGATCACTTATCTGTAGCACAGCCGTATCCACACAGTCTCGCAGACTTAAACCCTCAATCTTCTCATCCAGCAGAAGCTGAACTGCAGGTTCTAGATTCAATATTAGCATGTCTGCTTTCTTCATGGAAGATTGTTGTTTTATTTTTCTAGGGCCCTTTCACAAGATGATCAAGATGACATCCACTTAAAATTAGAGGACATCATTCAAATGGTAAGTTCACCTTCCATTTTACCTAACACAATTATATGCATAATATCTTTCAAAGGGAAGTAGGAAGGTTGTCACTGGTTGACCTTACCTCTGCCTATGCAGTGATATGAGCGAACCACAGTTGGCATGGAAGTCCAGCAGTTAGTCAGTGATATTAATGTTGGTTTTGATTTTGTGTTTAACTTTCTTCATTTTCATTCATAGCTAGAATCTAGTGACAGACTTCATAGTTGTACAGATGGCAGCTCCACAGGCCTGCCACGAGAGGGGAGGTGTCTTGCTCCCAGATGGCTGTTTACTTCCTTCCTCGTCTCTTGCAGACTGACTGTCCAAAGGCCGAATGTTTTGAGACTTTATCAGCCATGGAGATGGCAGAGCAGATCACTCTCCTGGATCACATTGTTTTCAGAAGCATTCCCTACGAGTAAGTGCTGCCTTGTCTCACACCACCCCCACCCCCTTCCAGGAACAGGACTCTGTTAGAGTAGCTGCCCTGCTTACAAGCTGACCATATTCCTAAGTCTGGGGTGTGTGTGTGTGTGTGTGTGTATGTGTGTGTGTGTGTGTTGTGTGTGTGTGCTCACTTATGCACAGAAATATGAGTCCTAATCTCAGGATGATTTGACTCCATTTGAATGTTTTCAGTTCCAGGTTGAGTAATGGATATTCAATCTCAAGATGGTCAGTCTTGTTTTCTATATGTACTAGGATTACCATAGAATATAAATTTCTATGCTCCATCTTATCCTTGAATTATAGAGTTCTCAGTGCACCTGTTAGAGTGGTTCTCAAACTTCAGTGTGTCTAACGGTTACAGGAGGGAGAATGATAGCAAGGATGACACTTATCAGGATGAATTGTACACATAAACGGACATGTTAAATAAAAACCCCATTTGTGCAAATATATGAAGATAATAATAATATAAAGAAACAAAGCTGGGCTGGGAAGGTGGCTCAGTGGTAGAGTGCTTGCCTTGCATGCCTGAGGCCCTGGGTTCCATTCCTCAGCACCACATAAGCAAAAAGAAAAAAGCTGGAAGTGGCACTGTGGCTCAAGTGGTAGATCAGTAGCCTTGAGCTGAAGAGCTGAGGGACAGCGCCCAGGCCCAGAGTTCAGGCCCCATGACTGGACCCAAAAAACAAAAAAGAAAGAAAGAAAAAGAAACGAAGCTGCTGGGCACTGATGGCTCAGGCCTGTAATCCTAGCTACTCAGGATCCTAGCTGAGGATCACAGTTTGAAGCCAGCCCAGGAGGAAAGTCCATGAGACTCTTATCTCCAGTTAACCAACAAAAAGCCAGAAAACCAGAAGTGGTGCTATGGCTCAAAGTGATAGAGTGCTAGCCTTGAGCAGAAAAAGCTCAGGATAGTGCCCAGGCCCTGAATTCAAGTCCCATGACCAAAAAAGAAAAAAAAAAGGCATTTGAGAAACTTGTGAATAATGCACATTTAAAATTCTGCTTTTAGAAATTTTGATTGAAGCTCAGGAAATTATTTTGAATAAAAAACTACAGATAATTTTGAGTATCCCAAGGATACACTTAGAGAAAGTGATTTTGGGTAAATACTATAAATTCTGTTAACATTTATTTCCATAAATCAATAAGCATCAGTAAGATTTATGGCAGTACAACCCCCCCAGCCTTCCCTGATCCTTAGGTGTAGGAGAGGCCTGGGAAGACTCCCACTGTCACACTGACAACTTCATAGGCAGATGTTTGTTAGGATAAATGATGACCGATAGTACTCATCCCCTGTAAACTCACAACCACAGTGACGGTAGTGAAAGGGCTAGACAAAAAGTGAGAATGTGATCTGGATCAGGTTGTAAGTGGAGAAGAGGACATGGCACTGATGGAGTTGGTAAGACAGGGTGGATGGGTTAGTGGGTCTGACCAATAGCTGTATTGCTTAGGCTCAAAAGGAAAGGAAGTATGTTCCCTCAGATTTTCCTTTTGTACCTTTTATCTTCTTTGCTTCCCATCTTGCCAGCATCCACCCACCTATCCACTAAACTCATTGGCAATTCATCTGGACTCAGTAACAATTGGAGCCTCTATGTCATGTATGCCACTACCTTCTCCCTGTGGTACCCTCCTGTGCATGGAGGGGGTCGTGAGTTCATACAGGAAGAACAAGAGCCGAGTGAGACTCTTGGTGGCCATTGGTGTGGTCTCTTCCAGTTATTGCACCTTGGACCTGCTTTACTTGTGTCTGACCCTGCAGGAGAGAAGCAGAACCAACCACTCCATGAGACAGAGAGCAAGACCCAGGCAACATGTTTTACTAAAGAAAGTGACAGAGTAATTCCATTGCAAGTTTAGGGAATATTTTAAAAGGACTCTACAGTTCCTGCACATTCCATCTTGCTGGGCCTTTGCCTGCCGTGGTGTGATGGGAGGACCTGAGCAGCCTCCCCCCAGCTGAGATCTCTCTGCTCTTGGAACCTGCATATTCCTGAGAAAGTCAGAAAGAAGTAGAAGGGAATTTTCTGGTCCTGATTAACATTTTTGGCAATAACAGATTGTGTTTTGGACCCTCCACTAAAACTTGTTATTTCAAAAGTTAGTCCAGGGAAAATAGCCTTGGTTTATGAGTTAATATTTACTTTTTTATTTCTCTTATTTTGGTGTTTTCCAACTTCAGAGAAGCCTTCATAGGGACAAAGTTCCAAACACTTACAATAATCTGGAGGCTGAAATCTTTTTTTTTTTGCATTGACTTTTTTGCATTGAAACTAGAGCAGAGCTAAAAATCCCTTTGAGACAGTCAGCCAAAGGTGTCAGGTAATGTTCCAGGCAATATTAATTTAGTGTACCTGATATTCATGATAACTATGCAGACTCATAGCCATCATTCCTTAAATACTTATTTGATGTCCTGTTTTATATTGAACTTTCAGAGAGTTTCTTGGGCAGGGGTGGATGAAGCTGGATAAAAATGAAAGAACACCTTACATTATGAAAACCAGCCAACACTTTAATGATGTGAGTATCCACACACATGTTCTCTCTTCTTCTGCAGCTAAGTGTTTTCTGGTTTAATAACCAACCAGTTCAGAATTTGCTTTGACGTGGAGCAAGCATTTTTCTTGCCCTATAATAACGGAGACATTCCTCAATGAGTACTTACACAGTGTTGGGGGCCAATGAGGGTGGGTTTTCAAAGAATTACACCATGACCCCCAAACATTGCCTTTCCTCCTTGAATTGTTCTATCTCTTACTTCCTTATAACAAAAATCACATTGCTTCACAATAAGCTGCATTCAGAGAAAATCTGTCTTCACTCTAAAGATGAACAACTGCTCAGGAGTTTGTTGTTATTATTATTTCAGACTTCAGTCTCTTTAGAAAGTTGTTATCTAAGGATGAAATGTTAATTCCATGCTCCTTTGACATTCTGCTCTTCTGATGTCTGCGGGCATATTCAGATATGTTGCCCAAATACATTGCTTTGGCTCTTTGACAGTCTTCCTGGTCTCTTTCCCTTTAATGATATCTTTATTATCTTTAGGTAGTTGTACAAAGAATTTCCCATCCAGTGAATCAGTTTATAAGTACAATGTATCTTGGTCAATTTCTCCCCTTTCATCATTCTTTCCCATTCTTCATCTTTTGGGTTTTCTTAGATGAGTAACCTGGTTGCCTCCCAGATAATGAATTATGCAGATGTCAGTTCCCGTGCCAACGCCATTGAGAAGTGGGTGGCGGTAGCAGACATATGCAGATGCCTGCACAACTACAATGGTGTGCTCGAGATCACCTCGGCCTTAAACAGAAGTGCCATCTACAGGCTGAAGAAAACCTGGGCCAAGGTGTCCAAGCAGGTGAGCATCAGTGTATGACACATCCTGCTTCTCAGAGGAAGAGAGGCTGGGTGAGGAGAAACAAGATAAATATTCTAATTAAACAATCATTAGCTGAAACAAGCAAAGTAGTTGCCAGAGAAGGTGCCAACATGGGTAATTGCTGTGCTCTTACCACTTAATTAATTACACTCATGTGCTTTTCCAAAACACTCATTGAAACATTTGGGGGGACCAGCTCAAATGATGTGGCTGTCGATCAAGAGTTTTTCCTGAATTATTTCAGGAGGGCACATTGATTCCAAGTGACTCACAGATCCATTTTTCCAATCCCAAAATATGGTTACAAATGCCATAGAGTCCTCAGAGTTCAGCCCAATCCTTTTTGTTCATGTAGCAGATGTCAAGTTCTGGTGTAATGACTCAGATTGCAGATATGTAGCTTTCTCAATTTTCTCACGTTGGATTCATTTGACCCCCTGCCAGTTACTTTCATTCAGATAATTTTAAGAACTGTAGCTTTTACTTGCAAAGTCTAAACTTTGTTGGTAATGAAAGAACTTATGAGTTCCATTGGGCCAAAAGTGACCTCTCTAAGCTCTGCATATTCTCTAAGAAATGAGAAGGAGTGGGATAAAGGCTCTGACTGTGCTTATATATGATAGATAGATAGATAGGTAGATAGATAGATAGATAGATAGATAGATAGATAGATAAATCAGGTAATATACATATAACATATATTATATGTGACATATATGATTTTGTATATGCACATACATATACACATATCTCTTTCTTGTGGTTTAAATCCCTAGTGGTGGACACCCTGCAGATAGATGCCTTTGGCAGACTTTGGCAAACCAATAGGCAGAGTGGAGTAGAGTGTAGGAGAAGGCTGTATTGTGTGTGCCTGACAATGTCAGCATAGAAGGACTTCCCAAGTAGCTAGGATTGGTAGCTTGCGCCGCCACACCCAGAGAACAATGGTATTTCCTAAAAATATCGCTTATATTTGTCTATCAAATTGGTGAGAATGCTCACAAAAGAAAGTATTTAGAGTAGAGGATATTTCTCAGTCAACAACAAACTGACCAAATATATGGTTTGATAGTTTGCAGATTAGTATTCACAAAGACTCACTGTGGCTTGGGGGTGTGGCTTGTGCTATGGTGGTTGTCTAGCATGTACAAGGCCCTAGGATCCCCAAGAGAGAAAGACAGAGTCAGAGAGAGAGAGAGAAAGAAAGAGAGAGAGAGAGGGAAAGAGAGAGAGAGGAGAGAGACAGAGAGAGAGAGAGAGAGAGAGGGACATAGAGACTCAGAAAGAGGGGGAGGGAGACCAGGATTCATTCTGAAAACTTTAACATAAGCTCTTTCCTTTAAGATGTTATATTCAACTGGCACTTTTCAGTTCTTTAACTTTCTTGCCATTTTTTTCTATTTGTTTTCCCACTATGTATTTGAATGCAAGGATGTAGACACTTCCTCTTCTCCACATGTTCTTTTATTCTAAAATTATTAAGTGTAAACATAATATCCTATTGTGAGGGGCAGGGAATGTGGCTCAGTGGTAGAGCGCTTGCCTTGCATGCATGAGGCCCTAGGTTCGATCCCTCAGCACCATGTAAAGCAAAAAGAAATAAAGCCAGAAGTGGCGCTGTGGCTCAAGTGGTAGAGTGCTAGCATTGAGCTGAAGAGCTAAGGGACAGCGCCCAGGCCCAGACTTCAGGCCCCACGACTGGACCCCCCCCAAAAAAAAATCCTATTGTGAGGATAGTATCACACAGTGAGTACCTGCTACAGTAAAGAGAATGGAGCATCTTTTCACACCTCACTATCCAATCAAATCACAATTTCATGGCTTACTAAATTTTTGCTTTTCTTTTTTAGACCAAAGCACTAATGGACAAACTTCAGAAGACTGTTTCATCTGAAGGAAGATTTAAAAACCTCAGAGAAACCCTTAAAAAGTATGTATCACTTAAGCATTAAGTTATGCATAATTTTAGGAATAATGATATATAATTTATATAGTATATCAAACTTCCTGCCTTCATTGCCAGGGAAAAAGTAAGAAAAAATTTCATCTCAGTGTTTTTTAATTTTCTTTGTCACTTGGAATATTGTGCATTCAGGATACTCCAAATAAAATGAAAATATGTCCATAATAAGTCAAATCACTGCTTAGTATAAAAGCTAATTTAAGCACAGAGATTTACTGTGGGATTTTAAAAATTGAAAGACCCAAGCACCAGTTGATAATGAATATTTGCTTTTTGCTTTTTCACTTCTGAGTCATTCTCTCCTCCTGCTTGCACATGTGTGCACATATTCTACCACACACACCCACTTCATAGAGTCTATTGTCTTACGACTAATTTTTCTCATGATTTATGTGTTTGTTACTTTGCTTATCTCCATGGTAAAAGGCCTGACAGAAACAGCTTAAGGGGAGAAGGATTTATTTTTGTCTTATGGTTTCAGTCTCTTCATTCCAGGCTGGTTGGCTCCATGCAGTCAGGCAGTAAGGATCTCATGGTGGTGAGAGTATGCAGAAGGGGAGGTTGTTCACCTCATGGCAGACAGGAAGCAGAGGTAAAGGAGGAGATACTGCTAGGGATAAGCTTCAGGCGCTCCATCCTGTGATCTACTTCCCCAGCTAAGCTCCACTTCCTAAAGTTTCCAGAACCTCCCAACAAGAATTCAACAAAAAGGCTGGGATGGTGGCTCAGTGGTAGAGTGCTTGCCTTGCATGCCTGAGGCCCTGGGTTCCATTCCTCAGCACCACATAAGCAAAAAGAAAAAAACCGGAAGTGGCACTGTGGCTCAAGTGGTAGAGTACTAGCCTTGAGCTGAAGAGCTGAAGGACAGTGCCCAGGCCCAGAGTTCAGGCCCCACAACCGGACCCAAAAACAAAACAAAACAAAAGAATTCAACACAAGAGCCTTGGGGTGGAGTGTTTCATATTCAAACCATAGCTCTACAATATGAAATGAACTTATACTTGAGAAACAATAGTGTTGTGATGGCATAAGTGAAAAATCAACAATAATCATCATCATAGCGGAAACACATAGAATAATATATTATTATAATTGTTAATATTATATGTGGCATAGCATAAACTATTTGCTGAATATTTGCCAAATGAAGGTGTTTTCTGTGTCTTATTCAAGCCTCACTGCAAATTAAAGATATAAAATTTCCTGTCCATCTTACACATGAGAAATCTGAAGTTCAAATCTTTTTCATAGTATCATTGAGCAGCTGGTAAAGTTGGGATCAAAGCCTATATCCAAGTTTACCCCTTCCCCTCTACAAACAAAACAAAAATATCTCTCCCTTTAGTGTGTGCTCGTGATACTAGTTGAGTCTACATTTCCCAAACATTTTAGCTCTAACTAAAATAGAAAACAAGTCTAGGATGTGGAAAGCTAGTCACACTGATTTTTTAATATCTAGATCTTGAGGGTTGGGTGCATTTTAGTGAGGTGCTTCCCCTAAGAAGCGTGCCATTTTGTAAGAATCACAAGTAATTCCATGCTAGCAATTATTTGTATTTGTCTCTCAGACATCCTGTTTTTTTGGAGCATGCCATTGCATCAAAATCATAGTGAAGCATGGGCTTTAATTTTGTATTGTATTCTATTGCGAAACATATTTAAACTCTTATCATGAGCAAGCTCCTGAAGATAAAATAAGACATCTTTGTTCTTCTGGGCTGCGGCACCATTGCTTCCCGCTCAGAACGGGGAATGAAATAGACCTTTGTGTGAATGAGTCTAAGAAAAATGTTTCTTGGTCTTGCAGCTGCAACCCTCCAGCTGTTCCTTATCTTGGAATGTACTTGACAGACCTGGCATTTATTGAAGAAGGAACACCAAACTTTACCGAAGAAGGCTTAGTCAATTTTTCCAAAATGAGAATGGTAGGTAACAATTTTATAATTTCCTAAAGTCAATGACTTTATGGCTTATAGAAAAGAGGCTTAATAGTGAAATCAGCGTTTGCTTCTTAAATTGGAGGTGGGAGGTGTGGGGAATGACAGGAACTGGGTCTAATTCCTGCTGTTGGTGGAACAAGGAGATTTCTGCTGTTGGTTGAACAAGGGAGTAGAGATTAAAGTTCCAAAGATGTCTTTCTAAGACTGACCCATAGGAGACAGATGCCAAGCTGGTGGTTCTTTCTTCCCCTCCTTCTCCTCCCCCTTCTTCTGTTGGTGCCTGTTTTGGGGCTTGCAAAGGGCCTGGGAACTCTCCCTGAGATTCTCTTGCTCAAGACTAGTGTTCTAACAACTGAGTCACAGTTCCACTTCTGGCTTTTTTGGAAGTTTATTGGAGATAAGAGTCTGTCCTGCTCAAGCTGGCATCAAAGGTTCTTGATGGGTAACCAGGTTTTTAGCACCAACCTAGAAGGAAAGGAGACAATGAACAACAGCCAGAATGTGCTTCTTCCAAATCTGAGGTGCCACTTGCTCCCCCTGGTTAGCAATTTAGAATCTTCTTCTTCCCCTTCTTCCTCCTCCTCCTCCTCCTGCTCTTCTTCTTCTTCCTATTCCTATTCTTCTTTTCTTCTTCTCCTTCTGTCTGTGTTGGAGCTTGAACTTAGGGCCTGGGTGCTCTCCCTGAACACTTTTTGCACAAGGCTAGCACTCTACCACTTGAGCCACATCACCGCTTTTGTTTTTCTAGTGGTTAATTGGATATAAGAGTCTAATAAACTTTCTTACATGGACTGGCTTTGAACTACAACCCTCACATCTTAGCTTCTTGAGTAGCTAGGATTATAGGCCTGAGCCACCAGTGCCTGGCTAGTATCTTAATATTTGCACTTAACCTGGCTCTTGAAGGTTATAAAAGCACCAAGCAAGGAAAATGTTGTCAGGAATTGGGAAGGTAGCTTAGTGGTAGAGTGCTTGCCTTCCATGCATGAGGCCCTAGGTTCGATTCAGCAACACCACATAAGCCAAAAAAGCCGGAAGTGGTGCTGTGGCTCAAGTGGTAGAGCGCTACCCTTGAACTGAAGAGCTAAGGGACAGTGCCCAGGCCCAGAGTTCAGACCCCACAACTGACAAAAAAGAAAAAAGAAAATGATCTGTCAGGCTCAGGGAGGAAGTGACTTCCCATGCTTCTGGTGAAAGAAAACACTGAGAAGCTGCCCCAAAAGAATGTGCTATGATTTGGAAAAATACCTTTGCTTTGCTTTGTTGCTGTTTTTCTCATTATTAGATATCACACATTATCCGGGAGATACGCCAGTTCCAGCAGACTTCCTACCGCATAGACCATCAGCCAAAGGTAATATTGAGATATTGTGTGGTTGTGGTGAAAATTAAAATTAAAAAATGAAATTAATGAATTACAAAGTAAAAATAGACTTGGTTAAAAGTACAAAAAATGGACTCAGAAAGCCTGTAACAGGTCTGCTCAAGAAAAAAAGCAGGAAGACATAAGGAATACCAGTTCATCATGTAGTTCTGTTGATATTGTGTCCTCTATTTCTTCTGAATCTGTCTCACTTCCAGCCCAGGTCAGGCACTGGGATGCAATAGCCCGTCTACAATCACATCTGGATAGAATTCTGATATAGTCAGTATATTATGTCCCCACCCTTTGTGTCAAAGGTTTCTGTTGCTCTTCGGATTTTAAAAAAAAAGAAAGAAAGAAAAAAGAAACATCTTGACATGACAAAGAAGAGTACGGTATATGGTTACTATTGTTTTTTTTTAATTTATTTACATCATATAACCACTTACTCTTGTAGTGCCAACCACAATTAGTCATTAACTAATTAATTAAATGTGTTACTGGTGTTTGAACTGAAGGCCTCGCATTTTTCACAGGCACTCTACCATTTGAACTGTGTCCTCAGCCCTTTCTCTTCTTGCGTTAGCTATATCAGGCATGATACTGATTGTTTCAATCTCTTGCCCATATTGAGCAGCAGTGTAACCCTTCTACTTGTACTTCCAATTTAGCTGGGATGACAGGTGCAAGTCACCATACCCAGCTCTTTTTGTTGTTGAAATGAAGGCTTTCTAACTTTTGCCTGGACTGGCCTCCCACTGTAATCCTCCCAATCTCTGCTTTCTGGGTAGCTGGGGTTATAGGTATGAGCCACTGTACCTGGCTCTCCTTATACCTTTTGCAGTCACAGCTCCAATCCTGACTTGTTGCTGGTTGTTTGGAGATAAGCTTTACAGACTTGCGTGCCCAGGTTGGCTTTGAAGTGTGATCCTCAGATCTCACCCTCCTATGTAGCTAAGATTACAGGCATGAGCCACTAGTGCTTGGCTAAAGTACTACTTTTAAAGAACAGTTTCACAGTCTTAAAAAATCAAGATTAGAAGTTAGAGATTCTCATCTCCCAGTCAAGTACAGTGTATTTACTTATTTAATGAATCATGGCCTGATGAATCATGAAACATGGTTGTATACAACTCTTTGCAACTCTATGGACTAACATAGGAGCTTTCTTTAACTTTCACTTAAGAAAGGAAAGAAAAGATGGGACAGTCTTATCCCAGATAGCTCTACAGAAAAAAAAAAGATTACTAGGTAATGTCTTCACATATGGGAGAATGCACACCAAATGGTAAGGGCTAGCTGGCACTGGAGGTTGGCTGAGAACTAGAGATCTTTGAGTATTGTTTATAACAATGAGAATATAGTCATGTTTCTTTATATATATATATATATATATATATATATATATATGATGTTGAATTATGTCAAACCCACTCAGGAACAGTATATGCCAATGTTCTCAAAGAAGTACAAGTAGGGATTTCTGTGTGTCTTTTTTTCCCCTTTAGGTCACACAGTACTTGCTGGACAAAGCTCTCATCATAGATGAAGATACACTCTATGAACTGTCACTAAAAATTGAACCTCGGCTCCCTGCTTGAACATCTGGCCTTGCTCCTGAGACCATAGCATTTGCTTGGGAAGCAGGACAGACAGAATTGCGCATGCCCTGTCTAACAGGCACAGTGAGGATTGGGGGGAGGTGAAGCCCATCTTCCTCCTCCACTGCAGAAGGAACTGGACTTCAATTCTGTCTCCAGCCAGAGTCAAACCCAGCTGTGTGGGTCAAAGGCAGATGTGTCAGCCTTGGGTGGGAAGGTGCAGAGACCAATGCTTAGTATATTTTTCCTAAGGGAAGGTAAGATGGGAAATGCTGGTAACCATTTCAGTGAAGCGGGTGTGAAGGTAATCTCTCTCTGTCCTGTTAGAACTCAGGGACAGAGACCCACAAATAGATTTGTGATGTTTCACTGGCATCTACTGGCTGGGCCACACCTGCCCAATCTCCCGTTGGGATGTAACTGCTTCCTCTATACTTCCTTTCATCCCAAGCTTCACAAAAAGCAGAAGCTTCCTCGAGAAGGCCAATACATAAGCAATTTCAGTCTACGGCATGTGCATGGTTTCAAATGCATCATAAATATTCAGACTTTAGGAAACAGGAAAGGAAATCATAGAAGACAAATGGATTTGTTGGTAACATTGACTTAATTAACAACAATAAGCTGTATCCCAGAAGCCATTGTAGGGTGGTAATGGAGGCTTCTTCCCGAGACTGGTGGTCCCAGGAAGCCAGCCCCTGGAAGAGGCAATGGCAGAGTTTTCAAAAGGGTGCATGACACCTCACCGACAAAACTGTGCAAGATAGAAGGCCAAAAGCACTATGGGGTGTGACGGGTGTCCTTGCTAAGTAAAGCTATATTCCTGAAATCATCTTTGCACTTTGTTTTCTTTTCTCCTATAGGAATCTTTTGTGACATACACAAACCATTTTTTAAGGCTTACTATGAACATGGATTGTGGGTTTTTTTTGGAAACTGTTGTGTGGCATTTTCCTTGGAAAACCCATACTTCCATGTGCTACGGGTAGACAATCTTCCTCAGCCATCTCTGTAAGAACTATTTGAGTGAGAACAATGGAAGTTAGTGGGAAATGGGACCAACCACCCAATAGTTCTTGTAGCAGAAAGCCAAATGCAGGAATGTGTCCTACTTCCCAAGGTTGGGGAAATGATCATTTTCTCCAGGATTGTCAGGCATAGAAGAAATAGAGCTCTCTCATTGCTTACCTCCCTCCTCTCTTCTCAGGGAGACAGCTGCTTTAAAGGAAGGAAGAGATGACAATTTGGAATCATTATTACCTGAGCCTATTGCACCTGACATTTTCTCTTAAGAGGCATGAAGCTTGCTGCTGATGACAATGAAAAATGGACCTGTCTGGCTGCTTTCTCCCTTCTTTGCACTTTTAGTTTGTGGTAGAGCCCTCAGCCGATTAATACATTTGGCTTGCTTGCTCTTCAGATTCAGGTGGAGAACTAGCATGGATAATGTACCATAGAACTAGAGAGGGCACACTTGTCGGCACAGTGAGGTCCATCTCTTTATATAACTATATAGTGAAATATTAGCTAAGTAAAAGATATTTATAATATCTAAAGACCAACATATTTTCCATAGTTCATATTAGCCAACAGTGTAGCACTAGGCCCAAGGGAGAGAGGTTACTTATGGATGCTTTATTTTTCTTCCTTTGCTTAAAAAAGTTGCTTGTTTGGCTTCTTTAGTTTCTAATAAGAGGTTGATGTATTTTGACGCATGCTAAGAAGCATGGGCTGTTGGAGTTTAACAGTGTCTGCTTTGTAACATATTTTTTTCAGTGTTGAGAATCTGAGAGTTTGAAATAATGTGGGTCCATTGCACGGAACACCTCAAGACCTTGCAGAAGATATGTAAACTAAGCTTTGGGGGCTCACAACTGCAGTCTAGGAAGGTGACCTAAAATCGGGACCAATTTATGAGAGGACCACACACACACTAGTTCCAGCAAAACCAGTGTATAAAATGTGGATGATTTCTATGCTGCTTTGGAGTCCCAACATCCTCCAAAAGGGATGGCTCTGTGTGCACTTTGTTTGGAAGAATGGACTCTTTATTTCGCTGACCCACATGCTCCCTTTGGAGCAAAACTAAGAAACAGAGGAATTTCAAATGCCCCTCCACCTCAGGAATGTAGTTTTTCTTCATGGAGTCAGTCTCAACCTATTTTCTATCGAATGTTGGAAGCGCCACCATGTGGTAGGCTATGAGCACTGCAAATTGCTATCCTGATTTTATCCATTTTATTCCTAAATGTCCCTCCAACTTCCTAGAGTTGAAGACAACGGACTCTACCTTTGGAGTTACCCTCTGATTGCTACACCATTTGTGGGCTAGCAGAGGTAGGAATGCGCATCTAAAAAGGCAGAGGGGAGAAAGGAAGGAAGGAAGGAAGGAGAGAAGGAAGGAAGGAAGGAAGGAAGGAAGGAAGGAAGGAAGGAAGGAAGGAAGGAAGGA